TAGGTTTTCCACGTGGGGCTTAAAAGAGAGATGCGAATCGACCAAGATATACCCAAGTATTTGTAGAAATCGACAAACTCTAGGAGCACCATTTGAAGATAAAATAGAAGTAAGGGCTTCTGGGACCGACTTCCTGTTTGAAAACAACATCCCTTTGGTTTTGTCTGCGTTAAGTACAAGTTTGAGACAGAACAAAACTGACAGCAAACTTGTCTTGGTCTGCTTTGTATCCACCTTGGCAGCCACTCCCACATTTCTAATCAATCTACTTTTGAAATGAAGACAGTCGAAAAACATTAATAATTTGAGTTTTAAAGCGGGCAGCATGGTGGTGCAACTGGTAGAGCCACTGCCTCTCAGCGAGCAGGTCCCTGGTTCAAATCCCGGTTTGGGGGCCTCTCTGGGTGGAGTTTGCATGTTCTCTCCGTGCATTCGTGGGTTTTCTCCAGGTGCTCCGGTTTCCTCCCACAGACCAAAAACATGCATGTTAGGTCGTTTTCACGCCAGATAGTCCGGTAGACTTGGTTCGGTTGGGGATCAATATTCATGAGCTTTTGTTTACATTTGAGCTGGTGTGTTTGCATTCACACTGCACTGTGCAGTCGAGTCAACCTGTTGAACCAACCTATTCCCCTGCTCGCCTGTGGGGGCGCTGCACCCAGAACTACTGAAAGAAACGACACAAAAACCTCTAAAGACACGTCTTCTTCTGTAAATAAAAACAAAACGAAGTGGCATCAAGTTTTAGCAGTTTTAGGAGTTATATTTTGTCATTTTTTAAAAATGGACTCAGCATGAGCAGAAGATGAGACAGAAGACCATGGAGAATACTGTTTTTCACACAAGGCAGCTGACGGCTCCATATAAGGTCAGAGAAATGCGTGTTTTTGTCCTGCGGAGCGGGGCCCGGTCTGTTTACATTCACACTGCACTCAAACCGCGCTGGAGTTCGCTTCTACCGGACCGAGACCTAGGTTTTAGCCCGGGCCAGAGTTCGATGGCGCGTTCACACCTCCCTAAACGAACCGGACTTTCTAGGAAAACGAGCTAGAGTTCGATTAAAGCGGACTAAACAGGGCTGGTGTGAATGCACCCTTAGGCTGATTGGTAACTCTAAATTGTTCCTAGGTGTGAGTGTGAGAGTGAATGGTTGTTTGTCTCTTTTGTCTCTGTGTCCCCATGATGGACTGGAGACCTGTCCAGGGTGTACCCCGCCCCTCACACAGTGATTGCTGGACATGGGCACCGGCGACCCCCATGACCCAAAATGGAAGAAGTGGGTAAAAGGTGATGAATGGATGGATGGAGTTTTCGAGCTGGACTTAGTTCTGTAAACTTTGATGTTCTCTGTCTGAGAATAGCTCCAGTGCAGGTTTCAATTTTCTGCATGCATCAAGCAAGCTGTGCGTTCGTGTTCTGTGGGGCAATATTTTGAACACAATGATTTGTTTGTGTGCTGGTACATGACTTGCAAATCTGTATTCTACGCTGTACACAATATTTTGGTGCACACTTCCGCCGATATTGTGCACTACTCTTCCTGCAGGATTTTTTCAGAAACACCTGCACTGAAGACCTGTGGCTCATGTGTAATTATGTGGCAATTGCAGGAGTTGGAAAAGTAAACAAATGTAGGCTGTGGTAAAATGCAACTTCTCCCGTTTCCCAATTATCTTGTGAGGTAGGGAGGCAAGTCTTGAGTGACATCTGGCACTCAACCAGTTATTGTGTGACCCGTTCAGTCTTTGTAGCAGGTGGGGAGTTTGATTAGTTGTACACCTGTTAAACGCAACACAGGTGTCAAGGAGGCCTCAGGAAGGAGACTTCTCATAAAGCTGAAATTAAGTTTGCATCATGGCTGAGTGATTACAGTTTTTTGTGTGTTTTTTAATCAAATGCTTTCAATGCACATTTTGCAAGTGCAAACAATGTATTCAGTGTCAACTTGTATATGAATAAATGTTTCAATACAATAGCAAAAAAATACTCGATGGGAATACCCCCCCCCCCCCCCCCCCCCCCCAGCTCTAATGCCATAACCACAGTGCATCTGGAAAGTATTCAAGGCTTCACTTTTTTCATATTTTATTATATTAGTCTTATTCCAAATTGTATGATATTAATCTCTTTCCCCAAAATCCTACACAAAATACAACATTATGACAATGTGACAATTTTTTTTTTGCTTTTTGTAAATTTATTTAAAAAAAAGATGACTAAGAAATCACATTTATGTAAATATTCACATAATTTACTTAATGCTTTGTTGATCCATCTTTGGCAGCAATTACAGCCTCAAGTCTTTTTGAATATGATGCCACAGGCTGAGCACACCTCTCTTTAGATGGTTTGTCCTATTCTTCTTTGCAGTACTTCTCAAGCTCTATCAGGTTGGATGGGAGACATATGTATAGCCATTTTCTGATATCTCCAGAGCTGTTCAATCAAATTCAAGTTTGGACTCTGGCTTGGCCACTCCAGGACCTTCACAGAGTGGTCCTGAAACCACTCTTTTGAGATCTTGGCCATGCGCTTTGGGTCGTTGTCCTGCTGAAAAATTAGCCATCGCCCCAGTCTGAGGTCAAGAGCTCTCTGGAGCAGGTTTTCATCCATGATGTCTCTGTACATTGTTGCATTCATATTTCTGTCTAACCTGACTAGTCTGCCAGTTCCTGCTGCTGAAAAACATCCCCATAGCATGATGCTGCCACCACCATGCGTCACCATGCTTCACTGTAGGGATGGTATTGGCCTGATGATGAGCAGTGCCTGGTTTCCTCCAAACATGATGCCTGGTATTCAGAGTCCGAGTCAGAGTTTCTTTATTGTCATTCGCACCTCATGTGGTACATGTGGTGGAGCAAAATTATGTACACAGGGTCCCAGTTACATCCAACAATAAAATGTATAAGAAAAACAGTAATAACATCTAAGATATGAACTAAGAAAAACATCAACTAAATATACACTAAGCACTCATAACATAAAACATTGAACATCAGCACAAACATGAACATGAGTTTGTGAGCAGATGTGCACGCATGAACACATCAACATTGAAACAGATCAGATCAGCAGCAACATGATATGGTTTTTCACAGCAAAGAGTTCAATCTTTGTCTCATCAGACCAGAGAATTTTGTTTCTCATGGTCCAAGAGTCCTTAAGGTGTCTTTTGGCAGACTCCAGATGGGCTGCCATGTGCCTATTATTAAAAAGTAGCTTACGCCTACCCACTCTATCATACAGGCCTGATTGGTGTATTGCTGCAGAAACAGTTGTTTTTGTTCTAGATGGTTCTCCTTTTTTCATTCAACCTTTATTTAGACAGGTAAATCCCATTGAGCCTCGAGGACTCATTTACAAGAGAGACCTGATAACCTTTCCACAGAGGAACGCTGGAGCTCTGACAGAGTGACCTTCGGGTTCTCGGTCACCTCCTTGACTAAGGCCCTACTCCCCAATCGCTCAGTTTAGATGGCTGGCCAGCTCTAGGAAGAGTCCTGGTGGTTCCAAACATCTTCCATTTATGAATGATGGAGGCCACTGAGCTCAATGAGGAAATGTTTCTGGATTCTTCCCCAGATTTGTGCCTCAACACAATCCTGTCTCAGAGGTCTACAGTCAGTTCCTTTGACTTCATGCTCGGTGTTTGTGCTCTGACAGGCACTGTCAACTGTGGGTCCATATATAGAAAGGTGTGTGCCTTTCCAAATAAAGTCCAATCATCTGCATTTACCACAGGTGAGCTCCATTTACCGTAAGTTGTAGAAATATCTCAAGGATGATCAGTGGAAACAGGATGCATCTGAGCTCAGTTTTAAGCATCATGGCAAAGGCTCTGAATACTTGCGTGAATGTGATTTTTCTTTTTTGTTCCTTTTCTATTTTTAATAAATTTGCAAAATCTAAAAATATGTATTTTTTCACATTGTCATAAAGGGGTATTGTGTGTAGAATTTTGAAGAGATTAATTTAATACAGTCTGCAATAAGGCTGTAACATAATAAAATGTGGAAATAATCAAAGTCAAGTCAAAGTCAGTGTTTCTTTGTCATTCACAATTGTAACACAGTTGTGTACAGAGGGTCCCAGTTACATCCAACAAAAGTATAAATTGTAAAAAAAATAAAAATCTAAGACATAAACTAAGAAATACACTAAGCACTAGTAGTACAAAAACAATACGCCGAACAGCAGCACGAACATGAGTCTGTGTGAGCATATAAGTACGAATGAACACAGCAACATGAATAGTCAGCAGCACATATCAACAATCAAGTGGCATTACAGTGATTTATTTATTTTTATTTTCACAGTGATTATGCTGGTAAGAGATTCATGAGTCTAACAGCTTCAGGGTATAAGCTGTTCCTCAGTCTAGTGGTTCTACACTTGATGCTCCACAACCTCCTTCCTGAGGGGAGCGGGGCAAAAAGTGTGTGTGCTGGGTGAGTGGGGTCCTTCATGATGCAGGTGGCCCTCTTCCTGCATCTAGAGGTGTAGATGTTTGTGATGGTGGGGAGACTGACTCCAACAGTTTTATGTGCCGCCTTCACCAGTCTCTGCAAACAGTGAAGTGCTGTGACTACTTTCTGGATGCACTGTATACAGAAACTGAATTGAGATGGGTATACGATAGGTTCCAGATGCCCACAATAATTCAGCAACTATCTTAAGACATTTGTCTTGCTGACCGTTTGAACACGCTCAAAGTCCACGTGACACAGAATCATGACCCTGTGACTCACTCAAGGAAACAAGAGAACACTTGCAAACAGCATTCATGAGAGAGTATGTAAAATATCTGGGAAGGTTTCCATTTGTTTTGCTTCAGCATAATGAAATATCAGTCTTAAGAAAAAAAATGTTGCACAAATTATTTGAACGTTTTGAACAACTCAAAGGCAACTTCTATCATAGCTTCTGCAAAGTTTAGCTACTTTATCTGTTCCGTGAATCTGCTCATTGGTTTCATTCCTTTCTGTGTGTGATCACAGGTGAAAGACAGAGGACCCGAGGCCACTCGCAGATTTTTTAACTGGTTCTACTGGTGCATCAATTTAGGAGCCATTCTATCTCTGGGCGGTGTGGCCTACATTCAGCAAAATGTAGGCTTTGAGGCTGGCTACATCATCCCCACTGTGTGCCTCGGCGTGTCCTTCCTGGTGTTCCTTGTGGGACGAACAGTTTTCATCAAAAAACCTGCTGATGGCAGTGCCTTTTCAGACATGTTTAAGATCCTTGGCTTTGCCTGCTGTTCAAAGAAACCAAAGGAGCCCAACTTGCTTTGGTGAGAGCTGTTCTGGCTATGCATCAGTCATTTCTGAGTTAATTTTCAGTTGGGACAAAACATGTCGCATAAAACTCAATTATCAGAACATTGTGGTAAAATAGCCTTGGTAATTATCAACTCACTCACAGTCTTTAAAATATTTTGTAGAACTTCAGCTTTCAGCAGGAACGTTAAAGTGAAAAAAAAAAATACTAGACAACTTAGTTAAACATAAATGTAACAAATGGATGTAGAGGTTTGATTTCCACATATTTCAGCTGTAGCTTTAGTGTTTTTCTCATAGTTTGTTTCTAATGTGAGCTGGAAGGCAGCTTAAGCATGTTTAGATATTCCTTTATCTTAAATCTTCTTTTGATCCCCGTCTATAACTTTTCCACTGGTCCATTTCTTCATCTTCATTCCCAGTGGCAAAACATTATTCTGAAGGGTTGGAACTTGGCTTTGAACCAAAGTATCACAAGCAGCTCAAACACTTGACATTGAACGTCTTAAGTTGGACAATCTCACCGCCTTTTAAGAATTTCTTATTAGGGCATTTTCTCCAGAGATGAGGATTATAAGATTTAATGTAAAGTTTATTTCGTATTTCTAAAACTGCTATTGTTAAAGAGTAAGTCTCTAAATCTCTTACTGCAAGGGTTTAAGACTAATTCTGCCATACTGTGTATTTATTTATTTTTATTAATTTGGTGCTTCAATCACACCAGTTTTGAAGTAATTTTTTTCTTTTGTCTATAAAGCAACAAACCAGCTCTACTTGATAGTGCAAAAGTGATCTATGGTGGAAAGTTTCCAGAGGAAAAAGTGGAGGAAGTAAAAGCTTTGGTGAAAGTCCTTCCAGTTTTCTTTGCTCTTATTCCATACTGGACTGTGTACTTCCAGGTAAGAATGATCCGTTTCAGAAATTAAAGGAAAAAAAGGAAGACATTTAATTCATAACTACAGTACAAGCTTTTTAAATGCAGATATGTGGGACTTGTTTGTATGAGGGAATAATACTCGGTATTAAAATTACACAGATCCTGTGGTTCATAGAGTGGAGATTTACTTCATATTGACAATAATCTCTTATATTACTTTGCAGATGCAAACAACATACGTCCTGCAGAGCCTCCATCTGAGGATTCCCGACACGCCCTCAAACATCTCTGACAACTCTAATGTGGTAACTATAATTCAAAATAATCTTAGTCCACGTCCTTTTCTTGTATCGTAAAAAAGATTTTGATGCAGTGTGACAGAGTTTGCACTGTACATATAATTATACAGAATAAAACATACAAGGGCACAGCTCTAACCTGCTTCTCTATTAATAGTTCTGAGCAAGACCTTTGAGCAGAAAGTGAGAGTCAATTGTTCTCTGGCATACAATGGTAGGCAACAGCTGGAGGATGCAGCAAAGTCTTGTAATACCTTGGGGATTAGGTCAGAACTTCACAGACTAATGCTTGGCAGATTAGCAACCTGCCTGCGTCTGTAATTTCTTTGCTGCAGCGCCATCACCTGATGGTTCCTGACGATTGTTACTAATGTAGCTCCCTCACAGAATGTACTGTATGTTGCCTTCTGCAGGACTTTGTTGACTCTCAGCAGCTCCACATGACACACACCTCCTCAAAAATCAAACCACTCAACTGGAACACATCAGGAAGTGTAGTATGCACGCAGCAGTATGTCTGTTCTTATATTTGAACAGGCGTTCTTGAGGTGATTTCAGGGAAATAAGAAGTGAAACACTTGCCTTAAAGCCACACAGTCAAACTTCAAGTTGCACTAATGCCACAAAGACATTACTGGTGAACACTGAGGAGACGAGATCCTTCTGTGTGCTCACTTTGACCCTATTTTTAAAGTAGGTTTATATTTGACTTTATATATATATTTTTTTTTTCTTTTTTTTACATATTGTTTATTTGGTTCAAAGGAAGAAGTAAGCCTTCTCTTGTACCAGCCTTGACACTTCTCAGCATCAAAAGGGAAGTGAGATTAGATGCCTCTGTGAATTTCTTCCTCTCACCTGACACATTTCAGTGGCTAACCAGAACAAATAATTGTTCTGAAATGAACAGAGCTCATTCTAATGAACATGGGAGGCAGACATTAGTTGTTTCTAAACTCTCTAAAAGAGCACAGAATGTCATGATTTAAACTCTCTGCCACCTTTCCTATCCCAAATTTTGTTGTTGGTCTTTGTATTTGAACCGGCAACCTCCCCGTCACAAGCACACCTTCTCTAACCTCTGCACCACCGCTCCCTATTGCATCACTGTTTATATACAATAGTTAATTTAGTAGAGAACAAGTATTGGAGTCTGCTGGGAGACTTCATCATTCATCCATCATTTCAGGATTTACCTGACAAAGTAGATGAAGGCTCGTGTAGAATGAGATGTTTGATAATGAAGAAAGAAACAAAAGGAAAAATACTCTCTTTTTTGAGCTATGTATGGATTGTATGCAACCAACAATGAAAAAATCCAGAAAATTACTTTGAGAATAAACATTATTTGTTAAAACAAAGACACATTGTGGATTTCGCTCCAAACCTAAATAGTGTAGATTATATTGTTGAAAAAGACAAGAAGTTGTTCACTAAGTAAGACTGAAAAAAAAATGAAGATTGTTGGTTGTTTACAATGAATTTTCTACTCTTTAAATAAACTAACTACCAATTGCAAATATTAAACTTTGTGAAATATATATATCTCCTGACAGTAACAGCAAGAATTTTCTTTTTTTGCCACAGCTGCTGGTGCCATATTTAATAAAGTCTCTACTGTTTATTACTTTCACCCTCTAGTTGGATTTTTAGTGCCTTCGCTCCACTATGAATTGAATTAATATATTTTTATTAAATTATGTTTGGATTTGACCACCTGGGGGTGCTAAAGCAGTATCAAGACTGAAGTGTGCTCCTCTAATTCTCATGCAAACACATGTGAAGACACAGTGAACTATGTTGGAATGCACAAACATTTCTCTTTGTTTTAATGCTCTGTTGCTTCATGTAGATTTCCATCTCATCTGTTTCTTCTGCAAATCCCAGATGAAGTTCCGCTTCCCGGCTGCGTGGCTCACTATGTTTGACGCAGTGCTCATCCTTATGCTGATTCCTCTTAAAGACAAAGTGGTGGACCCCATCCTGAAGCGCCGGGGCCTGCTGCCCTCCTCTCTGAAGAGGATTGCTGTGGGGATGTTCTTTGTAATGTCATCTGCCGTGGCAGCAGGTGAGTGTCATTAACTGTTTTTCAGTAACCCAAAGCCCAATCAAACTGCACAGTTTTTGTGATTAAAAAGTTTTCAGCTTCTTTGAAGGAAGCAAGAAGTGCAACTTTAGAGTCACAATTACACCATGTTATTGAGATTTTTTTTTTTTTACTTAAAAAAATCTAAGGTGGAAACTGAGTGAGCCAACTTTTGAAATGCTTTGTTTATGACTGACAGGCATGGGCTAAGCCTTTGTTTAACAAATGACTGCCTTTACTATGCTGTATTTTGTGGACATCAATAGATTTTCTGGCATGAATCACAGCATTTTTTTCCACATGAAAAGAAAACAAGGTAGAGAGTTTTTTCCCTGTACCTGCATGCAGCAGCACTCCTCAGTCCTGTTTACCTCCCATCAGTTATTTTAAAAATACAAACTCAGTCAGGCCTGTCAGCCGCTGCTGCTGCACTGATCTATCTGAGCTCAAATGCTTAGAGAAAGATAAAGGCCTGAAAGTAAACAAAAGCAAATCAGTAACACTCCAGAGAATCAATGTTCATTATATTTTCTACAACCGATTCCCATCTTCTTTCAGGTGCACATTACATCCTCTACATGTCGTATTCTGTCAGTGGTGACCTTTAGATATTGACTGGCGGGCTTTCTCCAATTGCTGTTTGACTGTTAAACATGCGCTTAATCAAATTTGACAGCAGTTGTTAAGGGTAACTCTGGAGGGTTTGTTTAAAAACACGTTAAAATAATGGTAAAATAGAAACTAACAAACCATCTCTTTCATATTCTATAAAACATTATATAATCTTAACATGTTTGATTAGGAAATTAATTTTGATTGCTCGTTAGAGACCTAAGATGCTCCTTTTTTTAACTTTTTAAATTAAGAATTTTTTTTACAACTGAGTATACCACTGGGCTATAATGAACTTCTTCCAAACAAAAGGTTTGTGTATGTGTTGCACTTCTAATATGAAATCACATTTTAATAGAAAATACGTACAGTAGAAAATACAGCACTTAAAACAATTAAATGTGTGTCAGTAATAGTCCAAGTAGATTATTTGTTTTTCTTGCATAAAGAGAAAAGATGGCCTGAAGTCACAATTGTTTTTTGTTATCTGCACAGTCAAGCTGAGACATTATTATCAACTGCTTCATGTAGCTTTATGTATAATAAACTGCAAATGTTACTACCAGTAGTTATGCTCGATATATTAAAAATCAAATTATAAATTATCTTTGTTGGAGAGAAAGGGCTTCTGCTTGGGCTTTACATTAAAAAGATGCGTTTAAAAAGAGATGGCTGCTTAAAAAAAAGTTTTCACATTTTCTGGTCTGACTTAGTCCATCAAACATGTTTTTTTGAATCTGTGTCATGTGATAAAATCTCTATTTAAAACTGTAACGTTCAATCAACATTTTCTTTTAAGATCTGAATGTTGCTCTTGCATGTTCATTTCAGCATTTAAAAGCTACTCAGGCGTTTATTTTTTCCATTTGGCTACTTGGGAGGGGGAAGGTGCAATCCTTGCATTTGAATTCAGAGAAAATGAATTCCGAATGTTGCAGAAAGTAATTTTGAGTTCAAGGAGTGGAGAAAGGGTTTAAGATGGCGCTGTAGTCTGGACATTGGTCACAGTAGGAGGTGAAAACACAACTAGAGTGAAATACAGTTTGGGTCTGGATTTAGGAGTCAAATCAGACAACAGGGTCAACCCTGCATATTACAGTCATAGCCTACATTGTAGAATATACCTTTATTTGCAGATAATTTAAATTATGTTTTTACAGAAATGCTGTGCTGTCTTTGTTCGCAGTTTATTTACATTTCTTTGCTTCACAGACATTCAGTTTACCATACCATACCACTTTATTTATAAAGCACCAAAAAACAGCAACGAGGCCAACCAAAGTGCTTTACAGCAAAAACAAACAAGCAAAGGACACAGGATAAAATACATAGGTCCAAATAAATGAAGATAAGAACGAAATGACTTGTGTTAATGCAGACAAGTGAAAATCAAATCACACAGTGTCAAAAGCCAGGGAATAAAAGTGAGTTTTTAAACAAGACTTAAAAACAGTGAGAGAGGGAACCTGCCTGACATGCAGTGGCAACTCATTCCACAGTCTTGGACCTGCAACAGAGAACGCCCTGTTACCTCTGAGCTTAAAACAAGTGCCTGGAACCAATAAAAGCATCTGGTCTGTTGACCTCAGAGAGCGCTGTGGGACATATGGCTGCAGCAGATCAGAGAGATAGGTGGGGGGCAGAACTGTTCAGAGATTTTAAAAACTTAGAGAAGGATTTTTTAAATGAATTTGAAAGTGAACCAGGAGCCATTGAAGGGAGGCCAGAACTGGAGTAATGTGCTCTCTTTTGCCTGTACCAGTTAAAAATCAGGCTGCAGTTTTGAACGAATTGTAAACATGAAATAGAGGTCTGACTGATTCCAAAAAGAAGTACATTGCAGTAATCAAGCCTGGATGTTATGAAAGTATGTATTACTGTCTCAAGATTGCTTTTGGACAGTATGGCCTTCAATTTAGACAGTCGCCTCAACTGAAAAAAACCCTACAACAAGATTTAACAATCGTGTTTACAGAGTTTGACAGAGTGGCTCCTAAGAGCTGCCTCACACTATTATTACATGCTGAACTGAACCTTTAGTTGGCTCAATATGTGTCCTCAGTACTTATTTTCACATTTTCTATGAGCTGAAGTCATGTTGTTTAGGTGACCGACAGCTGGATAAATGAATATCCCAGTTTGACATGTTTTGCACACATTGAATTCATCAGAGTTGCTGTTTGCCATTCTGCATTCACAGCTCACCACACCAACTCTGCTTAGTACTACGAACACTTTTGGCATCCTGTGTGTGAGATGTGGAGACATTTGTCAGGATTGGTGCAGCAATATTTCATGAGGATTCGTCGTACATGTGCTGACACATGTCTGGTTATCAGGACAGCTGGAGCTCGGCTGTCTCAACGGAAGACATGCTGTCAAACTGGCAGTGAACTTTCTCTGATCAAGTATATACACCATGTTCAGACTTCACACATACCGACGCCAGCTTTGAAAGGCTGCAATGACATTGGTCCTAAAAACATATTTTTGTACATTTTATTACATTCTCTTCAGTCTATATACTAATACACATGTAGCTTATAGCATTTAAAAGTCTAAAAGTGTCTTGCTTGACGTAAAGCTGCTACAATCACACTGAGTTGGCTGATAATGATGCTTAGTTGGGGTAGAAAGTAAAATAAAAAACAGATGTGTTTATAGTGTGAGACTTGCTCTGAGCAGCCCAGTGGCCATGCTGTCTGAGATGGAGGGATGGTATTATTGGATATCCGGATTACAAGGCTACAACTCCTCTTAAATGTAGTATTAAGTGTAGTCATGATAGGGAGCTGTCTCTGGGAGCTATCTGAAAATAGCTGCTGGTCACACCATAATAGCAGTCGAATAAAGCTTTAAGGCAGGCGGCGGCAAATGATGACCACTGCTTGGTTCTTATTACTGAACTGTCTTCTGCGTCCCAATACTGAACTATCCGGCAAATTATGAAAGTGTGCAGATGGGACCTTAATAAAATGTTGGGATATTTTTTGAAAACTAGCCAAATCCTTTATAGACTGTTACTGGTTTGTTTGAATCTGACGATTTTGTTGTTGATGTTGTGGATGTCAGAGTAACAAAATGAGTGTTTAATTCTATTTCAATCCATTTTTATTTATGTATAAGAAAGTAGTATTTTCTTTCACTTCCTCTCAGCTAAATACTTTGTGTTCTGGTTTCTGTGTCCACCCATTCAGGTATTTTGGAGTCCAAACGCCTGGAGCTGGTCAAATCAAATGGTACCATAGACCAGGTGCTCGGCAAAGTTGTCTACCACGCAGCGGATTTACCCATATGGTGGCAGGTGCCTCAGTATGTGCTGATAGGAATCAGCGAGATCTTTGCCAGCATTGCAGGTACACTTGTTTTATATCCTCGATTGATTTTATGTGTTTAAAAACTTCTTATTTATCATGGCAAGCTAAATACTGCAATTCTGACTCATGCAATGAAGTTTAATTTAGTGATGGGACTTGTGCTTTGAGTTCGTCTGATTAGCCCTCACACTGAACTGCTCTCAGTGGATTGACTAAAACTGAATAGAGCTCATTGTTTTAAGCAAAACGCAGTGAAGACAAATGTCCGTACGCTTTTTTGCGCACTTTGATTCATCACCAGACAACACCAGCCTAATGGGTTTGTGGGTTGTTATCCAGAGTAAACGGCCCAAAACATCAATTGATCATTGATTATCCTGGTTTTCTCTCAGTTCTACAAGACATTGTTTGTTAATGGGACGTTTTACAAACGGGGTATAGGGAAAGTAACCTACTCACAGTTGACATGATCTAATATTTGCCTTCACTTCAGGCTTTGCATTAGTGATTTTTCTTTATCCAGATATTGTAGATAATAAGATGAATATATTTCCAGCTATTTACTGTATCCCTGAGGATGCATTCACAACTGCTACACAATTATCTCCTTGGCATAAACCTTTCACCTCAGCTGCAGTGTTGACATTTACCACAATGATCCTAACTATGTAGAAGTACATGAAACAGGAATCAGTGTACACTGCTCTCTTCAACACACACAGCACCCCACATACTTGTGAGAGATAACACTTATAAATTTCACTGACACACAGTGCTGTAAATTTGGTTCATATTTGTTGTTAGCAGACAACCCCAAGTAAGCAAGTGCTAACAAACTGAACTTTTACATGTTTTTATAAAAGCTATAATTCTCCATATAATGCATATATACAAAAAATGCAGTGTTTTGCAAAGCAGGATAAGAAGGTTAAGTGCTCTGCACTTAACTTTTTATAGGCATTTTTAAAGATTTCTGAAAACTACTGTCACTGAACACAGATTATTTCTGCAGTCACAAGTTCAAGACAAAACTGTGTGACAGACAAAAACAAACACAATTAAAATAGCATCACTCTGGAACTAGGTTTGTATGAGACGAGCTGTGGTTAAAGTTGTCCTGATGAACATTCTGTTGCGACGCCTTTCTCTCTGGATTTATACATTTGCATGTATGCATGTCATGCCTGCATATTTATGAAGGTAACATCATTGATAAATAAATTCCTGTACAGTTTACAAGATTAACCCAGTTTATGTTGCCATCTACACAACACATTTTTACAGAAAAGGCCTCACTTATTTCATTCCCAGTTCTTTCACTGTGATAGAAGAACCCCCAGTTGTATGTACGTTTCTTGTAGCAGGATGCACATTTTTTTTTGTCATTCAGTCTCCGCTAATCTAAGTAAATGGTAAATGGACTGCACTTATGTAGTGCTTTCTATCTAATCAAGACACTCAAAGCACTTTACACTACAACCTGTGCCCTCATTTACCCATTCATACAGAACTCTACTGGATCTTTACAAAGCTAATCTGTAGTCTAATCAGAGCTTTATCACACTCATACACTGATGGGACACACATTAGAGGCAATGAGGGGTTCAGTGTCTTGCCCAGTGACACTTCAACATGTGACTGCTAATGGAATTGAACCCCCAACTCTCCCATTGGAAGACGACTGCTCAAACCACTCAGCTACAGCTGCCTACAACCCAGCAACAGAAACCCAACGTCAAAGTGGTTACTGCTTGAGTAACTATATCTGTAGGAAACCTGTGTACAAATCAGCCAAATGTGACTTTTCCATTTGATTAACCATTGCATGACTTTTCAATTCAGTTCAATTCAGTTTATTTATACAAAGCCAAGTCACAACAGAAGTTGTCTCAGGACACTGTAGAAAAACATTCACATACATACAAAGTCAATTAGTAAAGTTATCTATCTGATAGTTTCTCTGGCTAAGTACACAACCCTGTTTGCAATTTGTTTTCGACAATAATAGTTATTGGTAATGGGACTACAATAGTCCCTCGTTACTTCTTGGTTCAACTTTCATGGACTTGTTCTGTTGCAGTTTTTCAAAGTAAGATTGTACATGACACACGGTTGGCTGATTGATGGAGTGAGCCGCACGAGAGGCATGGATTGTTTATTTTAAATAAATTGTTTTAAATGATTTAGCACCTGCTGCACCTGTGCACAGCCCACAGGTGCAGGGAGAACCTGTGCTTCTTGAAACACTGGCATGGCTATATTGATCATTGTATTGCATAGACTTTTTTTTCTAACAAATATGTGTTTGCAGTCTCGTTTCCTTCTAAAATTTACTGATAAAATATTGTTTCACTTTCAAATTTGGTGATAAATGTATCAGCCGCTTCTAAAAATGCTTTGATAAAATGCATAGTCTGTGCTTTGCGTTTTAAACACAGAAAGTAGCTTAAGGTTTGTAACCTTTTTATATAGTTAATACACTTGTATTATTTTTGCGCGTATGTGATCAGTAGAATTAAACTTAACTCAAAAACTGTCAGCAGTTCAGTCTCTGCCAGACTGTCTGATCGCCTCGTGTCTGAAGTAATCCAACGTTCTTGCTCCTGTTCTCGTTCCTCACCCACTTCATGACAACGGATTCCTCCCCTTTGCCTCACCCAAGACAGATACTTCTGCCCATCGAATATCTGGACCTCGACTTCTGCTCTGCCTTCAGACCACCGATTCCAGCTAAAACCCTCAGAAAAATGTTGCTTTTCTGCCTCTATGTGAATGACCCATGCCTGTATTTTTGACCATGAACTCAGACCCCGGACTGTAGGAGTTGAGCTCTTAGAACCAAGCTCCACGTTCTGAAGAGTGTTTTTCTGACTTTCGCTCGCATATCGCGTGATCCGTCCAAACCTCCTTTCCCTCTGATGTCATCACCCTCAACATCATCAGCTTTTCACCTGTGACTGATAACAACGGAGTGACAGCTGACTTTCTCCTTTCTCCTCCTGATAAAACTTTAAATAAATATTTTTGTTCACTCCTGTTTCAATTTCTGGGTCTCCCTCGTAATTCATTACACAGCGAAAGAGAGACTCTTTTGCAAAACTTATGAGGGTTTTACCTGAAATCAGTGGTCTGAAGGCAGAGCAGACGTCAAGGTCCAGATATCCGATGAGCAAAAGTATTTGTCTTGGGTGAGGCAAAGGGGAGGAATCTATGGTCATGAAGTGGGTCAGGAACGAGAGCAGGAACAAGAATGCTGGATTACTTCAGCCACTTGAGATCAGCTGCTGTTGGTTGTAGAAAACTGCCTTGTTGCCATGGTTACGCATCATAACAAATGTCCAAAACTAAAAAAGTTTCAATAAAAGTCCTTCCAGCTGCACAGCATCCAATACCAGAGGAGACAATCATCAAAAAAACGTGATTTGCATCCAGAAAAAGAGGAATTAAAGTTTCCAAAAGCAAAATCTCAGAATGAAAGTAACAGAGCTGCTCCAACATGCAGCCACCTTGAGCGGCGCAATTCTAGAATGTAGAATTCTAGATTTTTGTAATGCCACTACCCCTCTCCTCGTGGTTTTATCCCTTTTTCTATCTAAAAAAATGTATTCTGAAAAGAATAAGAAGGCCGCGCTTTATAGCAGCAACTTCGTGCACTCCATCCATCTTTCTGATGGCTGTACGTGTACTGTACATATTCTCGTTGTATTTCGGTGCAGTGATAATAAAGCTAATTCTGATTCTGATTCTGACCTGTGTGCAGCCCACATATGTGGGAGCAGCTTCCTCCTGCAGCTGATCAGCTGATCTCCGTGCAGAGCGGAGATGTGGGCGTGGCTGAAAGTGCAGCCGGAGGCAGAGAGCTGAAATCATGACATGCTGTGCTC